AGAGGTGAGACAGTGGAAAGAAGGGAGATGGTCAGATCCGTGCTTTTGTTTCTCCTCTCTCAGTCCCAACTGAGTGATATGGACCAGTATCGAGGAGAAAGCTTGTCTCTCTTTGAGGTTGGTGTAAAGATCAGAACTTCACAGTCCTCCGAAGGGGCCTAGCAAGTGGAAGACTGTGAACTTGGGGAACAGCTGCCACTGTTTGCTGCAGTGGTTGTTGGATGGCCTGTCTGGTTCATGTTGGGGACAGGGGAAATTGCACTGATGTGTTCAATTATTCCTAGTCCCTAAAGATGGGGGAGGATTGCTACCTGCTCCTGGATTGACCTGGGAATTGAGAAATGCCCTCTGTGTGCTTCCGTAGAAGGAAAATGTTTCCTCACTGGTTCATAAAAGCAGTCTATTCCAGGCCTTCCATAGTTAAGATGGTTTGCTCTTCTTCAAAAGAATCTCACAGTATGGCCTATATAGGTGCTGAGGGGATAAAAATCACGAGCAAAGAAAACTTACAATTTGCTTAAGGGGACTCAGTCTCAGGAAGCCTAACTGTATTAGTCAGGGTTCTCCAGAGAAACAACACACACATACACACACACACACACACACACACACTTATACTCTCACACCCCACACCCCACTCTCACACTCTCTCATATTCATGGAGAGAGAGAGAGAGAAAAGGGGGTGGGATATTTATTTTAAAGAATTAGTTCACATGATTGTGGGTGGCAGGCTGGGATTCTGGGAAGAACTGATGTTGTAGTCTGAGTCCAAAATCTGCAGGGCAGGCCAGCAGGCTGGAAACTTAGGCAGGGTTTTTATGGTGTAGCCTTGAGGCAGAATTCCTTCTTCTTCAGAAAACATCAATCTTTGCTCTTAAGGACTTCAATTGATTGTATGAGATAAAGCTCACCCAAATTATGGAGGGTAACTTATTTTATTGAAAGTCTACTGATTGTTAATCACATACAAAAAAGTACCTTCACAGCAACATCTAGACTAGTGTTTGACCAGATATCTGGGCACCATAGCCTAGCCAAGTTGACACATAAAATTAACCACATCAATGATTATGCGAATATTGAGGACAGGGGCTTATACTGAAGTAGGATTAATGAAGAAGAGAAGATAGTTTCTAGGACATGTGATTAGAACACTAAAAGAATTTATGAAAAGCCTTATTTTTAATTAAATCGTTCAATAGATGAACTGAGAGTAGAAATGGTCACTACTGAGAATGGAATTGGTTGTCTGAAAGATTGGTCATAACACAAAGCCAAACCACAAAGAAATGGAAGCATGAAGAAAAAAAGACAGTTTGGAGGACAGATCCATGAGACCTACCTTGTAAATAGCAGAAATTCCAGAACAGGAAAAGAACAGATGTAAAAGAGTAGAGTGTTACTTAAATCTTAGAAATAAATCCCCCAAGCAGAAGAAAGGTTTGAATATTCATGTTGAAAAAGATCGCTGAGACATAGACAGAATCAGTGAAAACACACACACACGCATCTAGATATGGTCTAATGAAATTTCTAAATTCCAAGGGTAAATAGAAATTCTTCTAAGCATTCAGATATTCCTTTCAAAAGGGAGAGAATGAGAGCAGCCTTGGATTTCTCATCTAAGACATTAGAAACTAGAATAACAGGTATAGATAACTGGGTGTGGGAGTGGGGTCTGTGATTATAGACCTGTACCATCTATGCCTAGCCAAGAAAGTGTTATTTGTCAAAACAAGAGACACTGTCAGACACACAAGGAGTAAGAGCATATACCCAGTACACTACTTGAAGAAAATACTTGAGAGAAGTATGCTAACTAGGTGGCAATTAAAACAGAACAAAGTTTTCTTGATAGAAGAAGACAAAGAGGAGGGAAACTGAGATAAACTGTGGATCTTAGAATATACAACTTGAGCATCTGTAATCTGAAAATCTGAAATCTGAAATGCTCCAAAATACAAAATTTTTTGAGTGCTGACATGATGCCACAAGTGGAAAATTCCACATCTGACCTCTTTTGAGGGGTTGCAGTCAAAACATTGTTTCATGCACAAAATTATTAACAATATTGTATAAAGTTACCTTCAGGCTACATGTATAAGGTGTATATGAAACATAAATGAATTTTGTGTTTGGACTTGGGTCCTATCCCCATGATATCTCATTATATATGCAAATATTCCAAAATCCAAAAACATCCAAAATCTGAAACACTTCTGGTTCTAAGCATTTTGGAAAGGGGATACTCAACCTCTACAGAGTTAAATTATAGAGTAAATGAACCATTACTAAAAAGCAAGGATCCTTGAAAATGAAGAGTCAAACCATAAGAAAAAATAATGTCCTTGTACTAAAAATTTTAGACTGTATTTGCAAATGCTAATTGTTGAGATGAAGGTAGGGGGAAGAGTGAGAAAGTAAACTTTTAAAAAAAGTTTTCACTTTGCTGGGTTTGGGGAGGAATAGGCAAATAAAACACTTCAGTGGGGGAACAGAATTATAATTTAGTTTTGATGTATTACTAGAAAAATGTAGTTCTAATTATAACTGTTTTGAAGATAATCATGAGCAGAATTTAAGAAGCATTGCAGGACTTCATTTTACAGGAGGAAAAAAAAAATGAACGGAAACTAGATCAAGCCAGCAAAAGTAAAGGAATGGAAAATAGAGGTAACAGCATCAAGAAATATAAATGGTAAACATAAACTATGCGGGAGGAATAAAACCAAATGTATCAGCTTTTTCTCTAAATGTAAACAGGTGAATTCATCTATCAAAAGGAAGACACTGAATTAAAATCCAGCTTTACGTTGTTTATAAAAAACGCATCTAAAATAAAATGACAAGGCAAGATGGAAAATGAGGTACTCTAAAAGACGCACAAGGAAAGTAACAGTGAATGCTTCTAGAGAGAATTAGGTGGCTGCAAACAAAGATTGGTACCGTATGTGCCTTTTGACATTTGTACCTTGTATGTATATGACCCTGCCAAAAATTAATCAAGAATTAATAAAAGAGATGTGCAAAAATATACCAGGCAAAAGCAAGACTTGCAACATTATCATACTAATGGAAATCATGTTCAAACATATTGAATAGAACAAATAGTGACATTATATAAGAATAAAATCAGGTATAATTCCAGAACATATAGTAACCATATCCTTCTATGCATCATATAACATAACAGTCAAATGTATAAAAGGAAAACTACAACTACCCAGAGAACACGAATAAAATAGTTTTGAGCTTTAACAGACCAGGTAGACAAAAAACAAACTGTGATATAGAGCTATAGTCTCTAACCCCTGGGTCACGGACCGGTACCAGTCTGTGGCCTGTTAGGACCTAGCTGCCCAACAGAGGTGAGCAGCAGGCAAGCGAGCGAAGCTTCGTCTGTGTTTCCAGCTGCTCCCCATCGCTCGCATCACCGTGTGAGCTCTACCTCCTGTCAAGTCAGTCACTGTCTCCTATCACTGCCAGATGGGACGGTCTAATTGGAGGAAAACAAGCTCGGGACTCCCACTGATTCTGCATTATGGTGAGTTGTATAATTATTTCATTATATATTACAATGTAATAATAATAGAAATAAAGTGCACAATAAATGTAATGTGCTTGAATCATCCTGAAACCATCCCTCCCCCAAGTCGGTGGAAAAATTGTCTTCCATGAAATTGGTCCCTGGTGCCAAAAAGGTTGGGGACCGCTGAAGAGGACTGGAATAATGCAATCAATACACTCTACTTAGTAGATGTACATATAAATAGAGAATATATACATTTTTAATGTCCTAAAACAAAACCTGTTACAAAACCAATCATGCATTCAGCCTGCAAGAAAGCTTTATAAATCCAAAAGGTTTTAAATTTAAAGAACATACTCTCTGATCATAAACCAAAAAAACTGGGAATTAACAATGAAAAAGATAACAATAACAAAACCCCCTTGTCCATGGACATTAAGTCAGACTCTCCCAAATAGCCTTTAGATCAAAGAGGAAATAAAAACAAATTATAAATTGTCTCTGAAGTAATGAAGAGGAGAACACTTTATTCTAAAACCTATGAGATATAGCTGAAGCTATTCTCAGAGTAAAATTTATATTATAGAAAGACCGAGAATACTTTAATGGAGAATTCAACTTGGAAAATAAGAAAAAGAATAAAATGAAACAAATTGAGAGAGTATTAAGATGAAATCAGTACAAGATAGTGAAAAAGATGAATCAAAAGACTCTACTAGTAAGAACATATGTTTTTGAAAACACCTAAGAGAATTAAAACTTCTCAAATAGGAGAGTTGTCACATTGGACTTAAAGTGAGTGGATCATCCCTTATGACGGTGGTCCCCAACCTTTTTGACACCAGGGACCAGTTTCACGGAAGACAATTTTTCCATTCAATTGGTGCCGGGAGGTAGAGCTCAGGTGGTGATGCTAGTGATGGGGAATGGCTGTAAAAAGACAGATGAAGCTTCCCTGTGTGCCCGACACTCACCTCCTGCTGTGCAGTCTGGTTCCTTACAGGCCATGGACTGGTACTGGTCTGTGCCTGGGGTTTGGGGACCACAGCCTTATGACATCCAAGCTTTATCACAGGCAAAGGAATGCACAGGTGATATTTTGAAACTATCAGTCCTGAATATTTAAGTTTCTACTCTATGACATGACAAAGAGCCAGAAATCTCTGTAAAATGATTTATTGGGACAAGTTAGCAGGCAAAGGAGGTAGAACCTGCTATGCACAAGACATAAAGGGGTCCTAGAACCACATGGTAGGACTGAGGGAAACCAACAGAATGCCGGACCAAGGAGCAAATGTCTGGGACTGAATGAGACTGACCAGCAGGTCTGGATTAGTATACATGGAATACAGCAGGGATTTGGTAATCTTTGGGGATATGACAGTTGGTTCTTGGGAAAGGGCAAAGACCTGGCTGATCCCTGGAGGCCAGAAGCAGCTGGGATCTGCAGGAGCAGATAGACATCATGCCTAGGTGTTCCAGAGGCCGATGACCGTGAGGATGGAGAAGGCCATGAAGAGCAGATAGAGGCGGAAGAGCAGGGTGTCCATCATGTGGCTGAACTGCACCCACAGCTCCACCCTGTGCCGCTTCTGGGCCTCCTGCTCCCGCTGGGCCCTTGTCCATCCTGAGCCCCCAGCCGGCTCTGCCTCTCCCGGGCCTGGCGACTTCTCCACCAACTCTACTGGCTCCTTCACACCTACGGAAAGACAGAGACTGAGCCCTAGGCTGTGAAAGTTATCCGCCCAGGGAGAGAAGCAGGGGCAGAGAAGTGGGGGTGTGGGAAGAGCAAGTGGGGGGCTGACTTCCCTCACCAGGCAGCTGGGCGGGGGGGAGACCCAGGCCCTCGTTTCCCTTGTGGGACACAGTGGGGCAGTATTTCCTTGGGCAGGTGCAGTGCAGCAGCAGGGAGTGGAGCCACCTCGGCATGGGTGGGGGCTGGTTGGTGGCCAGGTGCAGCAGATAGGCGATGAAGACGGTCTCTAGCAGGCTGAGCACCATCAGCGACAGACACAGGGCAAAGTAGACAGCTGGAGGGAAGGTGGGCCTGTGTGAGGGCCAGAGGCACCACTCAGGACTTCTCTCTTCCGATCCCACCTTGGCAGGCATGGAGCCTCCTTTTCCCAGTACACCTCCCTTCCCTGAGTTAGTTCCCACTCTTCTCTTCCCAAAGGTTGGAGAAGCCATACTGATGAGGGGGGCGCCACTGGTGGGGAGTAAGTCATTCATCAGGAGCAGGAAGACGTTGTAGCCCAGCAGGAGAGTTATCTTGAATGGGGCGCGATTCCCACTTTCTGCCGGCAGGTAGAAGCTGACGGCGTCGATGGCAACCAGAAAGCTACTGGGCACTAGGAGGTTTATGATGTAGAGGGTGGGCCTGCGCCTCATGGCCACCTAGTGGGGAGGGGAGAGACAGGAGTGGATATGGGGTCAGAGGAAATCCCAAATCCAGAAATAGCTGCTCATTGCCAAGAATAGCAGTGACTGTTTCTGTCTCTGCATTTTTCATTGGTTTGATAACACCCTGGGATCTGGAGCTATGTGGAATGAAGCTTCATAATCTGATATGGAACCAGCCAAGAGGGGTAGGCCAGAGCCACGAGTTTTAGGAAGGAGAGTGAGGCTGGGCAGCCAGGAGAGAGGGTTCTGGCCTCAGGCAGAAAATGGTAAAGGTTGAGAGACCCTGAAACTTGGGAGATACTCATTTGGTGGAGATTCTAGGCAAGGGCAAGAGCAATCAAAGAAGGAGAAAGCAAAGGCCTCCGAGCTCACATAGAACATGATCTCATCGTATAGGTTGTCTCCCACCAACATCTTTGGGGTGGCCTTGTTGATGCCCAGGAACTCCCACTCTCCATGGGTCTGAACGATGTCCCGGGACGTGTCCTCTATCTCCCACACTTCTTTCTCCATGCCCAGCAACATGTTATCCACTGAAAGTGAGACCCATCCAAATCATCCTCCAAATCATATATCCAAGGATATAGTTTCCTAGATCAACTGCACTCTCTTTTCCCATGCTTTTACTCAGCAAACATTTTTGAGCGACTACCATATGCCAGGAAGTTTGCTAGCAGCTCGGGATGGTGACAACAAGGGAGATGTGGGTTCTGCCTTTATGGAAAATATTTTTGCATCCATACAGCCTTATTCTTTGCTCCACCCACACTCCTTGGTTACCATTTACTCACAGTTACTTTATATTTTATTTTTTATTGCCTTTTTGGTTGTTTCATTCACCCCATCCCTGAAACCCACTGCAACTCACCTGTGTAGATAAATGACCTGAAGGTGAGTGTGCAGTTCTGCTGGTCAAAAGGGAAGTAGAAGATGTCCAGGCTACAGATGCTGGCCACCTTCATGGGTTTCTTATACCTGATGCGACCGTCATTACTTACATATGCTATGAGGCCTTGCGGGGTCTCATCCACATCAATGCTAGAAGAGAGATGGGAGGTGGGAGGCAGGTGCTGTGGTTTTTTTCTTATCTCTCCGATTGTTTCTTAGCCATCTAAAGACCACTTATGGTAGCCCCAATGGTAAATTGTAATCTCTATTGATATCAGGAGTTGGGACTGCCCTCTGACTTTCCCCAGATACGCACGACTCAACGATGAAAATGTCTGGGAGCCACAGATTCTTGGTTGCCACACTGATATTGGTGATGCCCTTACACTTCTTTGGGTTCCAGCTGATAAATGGGTTGTCCCAGACCTACAGGCCAGGTGGAGGAGAGGTGAGAGCCTGACATGCATTGGAGTTATTTTCTCCTGCCCTTCAATTTCTTCTTTAAAAAAACAGAAGTTATAGAATATTTCAAGCTTATAGGAAAGTATATAAAACAATGCAATAACATCTGTGTATCCACCTCCCAATTTTGTGGAGTCAGTATTTTGACTTTTTTCCCAAGAAATAATTACGGATAAAATTGAACCTCCCTGTGTTCATTTCTTCATAAAGTTTGACCCCTCTGTTTTTCTACTTTAGTGAGAAATTACTGATGATCAGGGTAATACTCTCCTTTTATAGTAGGAATAGATTTGGAGCTGAAAGATCAGTAACTCAGCCTCTCTGAGCTAGAATTTCAGTGTGAAATAAGGGTAGTAGTGGCTATAAATGAAATAGGGTATGGAAGGATTTGTAAACTGTAATGTTGTTTGGAGATTATTATATGTTAGGATTAATATATAGCAAGTCTTAATTATCTCTCACTGGTCTCTGTTGCGAGGAGAGAACAAGCCCTTGGGTTCTTTGAAGCCAAGAGCCTTAGTGGTCTTCCTCTACTTGGCGGGTGCTGGGTACTATCTTCTGTTGCCTTTGTGGTGACCAGCTCTCTTTTCCAAGGCTGGTAACTTTCTCTGGGAAATGTTTTCAAGGACTGTCCAACTCTGGAAGGGCTTGTCTAGTCTCAAGGCACTTTTAATGTCAGCAGCTGCAGTTTGTGGCCACAGCCAGAACAGGGAGCTCTATACACATTAGATAAAGGTTTGCATGAGATCAATGCTTCTCAAACTTCACTGTGCATATAAAACACCTGGGGATCATGTTGAAATGCAGATTCTGATCCGGTGGGTAGGGTGACTAACTTATCCTGGCTTGCTAGGAACTTTCTTGGTTTTAGCACTGAAAGTCCCATGGCCTGAAGGCCCCTCAGTTTGGGCAGGCTGGGATGGCTGGTCATCTTAGGGGGGGCCTGAGATTAAATACATTTCTAATAAGCTTACAGTCATTTCCCCCCTAATCCCCTCTTATTTTCTGATCAATGCACTTAAAATATAAATTTTCCACTGAGTTATGCTTTGGCTACATTCTGTAGATTTTCGTATGTATGCCCTCCATTTCAAGTTCATAATTTCTTTTTTTAAATTTTTTTTTTTTTTTTGAGACAGGTCCTTGCTCTGTCACCCAGGCTGGAGTGCAGTGATGTGATCATAGCTCACTACAGCCTTGAATCCCTGGGCTCAAGCGACCCTCCTGCTTCAGCCTCCCAGTTAGCTAGGACTACAGTCGCTCACCACCACGCCCAGCTAATTTTTAAATTTTTGTAGAGATGAGGTCTCACTATGTTGCTCAGGCTGGTCTCAAACTCCTGGCCTCAAGCAATCCTCTTGCCTCAGCCCCCCAAACTGCTAGGATTATAGGCATGAGCCACTGCGCCCAGTCTAGGTTAAGATTCTTAATTATGCTGTTAAAAATCACCATACATATTTACTCTTTATTTACTTGACTTTTGAAAGCAGTGTATTGAAGCCTCTCACCATTATGGTGAATTTTTCAATTTCTCCTTCATGTGTTCCAAAATGATGTTAGGTACATAAAAAGTCATAATTATTCTATCTTTGTTTAAAATCCTTTCTGATACTAAATGAAGAGGGAGAATAAAGAGTTGGCCATACCATTTCCAGCCACAGGAACGATGAAAAGAGCTGTGGCCGTTCATCCTGCCAAAAGAATTTCCTCTTTCCAGCATGTTGCCGGTAAGAAGTCTTTTCATCCCCCCTTCACATTTTTGTTTACCAACCCCCAAGGTGTATAAAGGGGATGCTGTGATTAAGGCCAACATTACAAGTCCAGGACAAAAGCTTGATCAAAACAGATGTGTCCAGCCACAGGCAGGGAAGTTCACAGCAGGGCTGGAGGAAATCAGTGCTTCTCAAGCCGGCTGTAACTTACAAATGAGAGCTCACAAATACCAATGCCTGGCTTTCATCCAAACAGAACCTCTGATGGTGGATCCTGGACACTGGTGTGCAGCCAGGGTGAGAAGAAAAGATTCTCTTCCATGTGCTGTTATACCTCACCCTGCTAAACTGCACAGAGCTTCTTTGAGATCCCCATGCCAGGCAAATGCCCTATAGCAATGGTGGAGGAAGCTACAGTGTGGTTAAAGGCTTTGGGGGGTCAGCTTGCCAGGGGCCGGGAAAAAGCTAAGGACGCCAGGATGGCTAGAGTGGCCAGAACTCACCACGTTTCGGATGGCAGACAGCGTAAAAGAGATGTTGACTTGGGTGGGGACACTGAGGTTGGTGGCTGGACGGAAGGCCTTTCTGTCAAATACCATATCTAGAGCAGAGGGATCCACCCCATGTTGTTCAAACCTTGAGCAATCGATGGTGAAAGTACTGCCCCTTCCTGTGGTGGACATCAAACATGAGAGATGAGGGAGAGAATGTGAGAACATCTGTGTTCCCTATGTTAGAGGGACCCCAGGGCAGGGCCTGCAGTAGCCTGTTATAATAATGATAACTTTTATTGAGCATTGACTATATGTCAGGTATATTCTAAGTCCTTTAAATGGAGTACCCCATTTAATCCAATCCCCCATCAGTAGATACTGTTTTTATCCTCATGTAATAACCAAGTTAACTAAGATGCAACAGGAGGAAGTGACTTCCCAAGGTTAAACAGATAATAAGAAACAGAAGCTGGACTTGTCTGATCCCAGGTTTGGTTGCTGCTGCTGTGCTATAGTCTCCCCCCAACCCCTGTGATGAGATGAAGAATGGGGGAGGGCGTCACCGAGAGGCGTCCAGCTACTGCGCTTCCTGCTATGCCAGGGAGGATGGGCCGGGCTGGAATGCAAATGATGGAAGCTAATGTGGTAAGCTGACTTAGGGCTCCAGCCTCCTGTCTAATATTTCTGATTGCAGGCAAAGCATGCCCAAATCTGTATGCAAACTGAGCCCTGGAACAGTGACAGTCATCAGATAGGATTACTGTCCTGGGGCCCCAAAGAGAACACACCTATTTTCATCTTGATTGTCTCAACATTCTCCCTTACTTTGCTGCTCAACCTTACTGTCAGCTCTCTAGTTTGAGGCTTTTTAGAAAAAATTTTTATTTTTAATGTGCATATAATAATTGTCTATGTTTTTAGTCTGAGGCTTTTGAGGTTTTGCCCTCCCCCCTCTTCTGACTAATAATGATTCCAATTTTCTACTGGTGGAGATTTGCTGGAAAAGCAACAGTCTGGAATAAGAGAGATGGCTGATGACCTCTGTGCCAGTGACATCAAGCCCTATCCATTCCCAAGGTCACAGTGCTCTCCAGGCACATTCTTGAATTGTTTGAATATTCATTTGTCAACCCCTGTCTGCAAGTGCCCAGAGGAGCTTTTAAAATGTTCCTACTGCCTAGACCAGGTGCACAATTTGTGTCTCTTTCGGGTACTGGCCTTTGAAGTCACCTCTGGTCGAGTCCTTTCCTGTGTTCCCTTATCTGAAGTCCTGTGACAACCTAAGCTAGAGAGATGACGTTTATCGGCACTTAACAAATGCCAGGCACTGTGCTACCCACTTTCTCTAATCGAATCATCACAACTCTACAAGGATGGTCCTATGTTACAGATGAGGAAACTGGAGCTCAGAAAAATTAAGCAACTCACCTAAGGTTACACAACTAGCAAAGTGAGGGACCAAGATTCAAACCCAGGTCTGTCTGTCTCCAAAGCCCATGTTCCAGCCACTCTACCATGTTAACTCACTGGAAGAGAAGCACACACTCTATTTTCATCCTTGACCTGTTGCCCTTTGGCATCTTACCTAACCTACAGCCCTTGGATTCAGTAGGTGGATGGAGAAGTTATGGCTAAAGTGGGCACTTTGCTAGTAGGTGGGTTTCATACTTGTCGAGAGAAAGAATTATACCTGCGAGTAGAAAGATAGGTGGATATAGAAGCTGAATGGAAGAGAAGACAGTTGTCGATGGTTCATGGGAAGAAAAATAGAAATGCTGTTGTATGGCACATAACTAGAAGGGGATTTTCCATGGTTCAGAGAAGGAAAGTCTATTTGGTCATAACAGTAATATAGTTATGAAAGAACTATGCCCATCTCACATAATCTCTAGGAGTTAGACATTTGAAAGAAGTACCTAGATGTTCTACCAGAGAGGGTTCTTCCTGCGTCCTCTGTCATTGCCCCTTTCTTACCTTGAAGCAGAAGACTGAGAACAAGGTAGAAAGGAAATCTCTCCCTGTTGAAATAGATTCCTTCCATCTCCTTTGTCTAAATTCTTCTCTGAGCATGTACTGAGACCCAGGATGTCCAGATTACAGGCACATGGGCCACACCTAGAGTCTGACTTTGAATACTGATAGCATTGGTTGACCACTGACATTTGTAGCCTTCCCAGAAAGAGCTCTGGTTGTCTTATTCTTGCCTACGCTTGAGGTTCAGTTTGCTTTTAAGACTTTCAGTCTTAGATATTTCACTACAATGTTTATGGTTATGGAGAGTTTATAATTATTGATCACGTTCAAACTTTTGTGTGATCCCTCAGTCTGAAGATTCATGTCTTCAATTCTGCAAAATTCTCAGCCACTTAAAAAACATTGTGTTTCTTCTATTCTTTCTCTTATTAGACAGATGGTAGATGGTTTCCTTCTATCTTATGTGCCTTTTGTTGCTATTGTTATAAGTCACAAACCTAGTGGCTTAAGGAAGCATACTTTATTGTTTTACAGTTCTGTAGGCTAGAAGTCTGAATCAGTCTCACTGGGCTAAAATCAGTGTGTCAGCAGGGCTGTAGTCCTTCTGGAGCCTCTAAGGGAGAATCCATTTCTTTACCTTTTCCAGTTTTTAAATTGCCTGCATTTCTGGATTCATTGTCCCATTCCTCCATCTTAAAAACCAGCAGCTCAGCCGGGCTTGGTGGCTCACGCCTGTAATCCTACCACTTTGGGAGGCTGAGGCAGGAGGATAGCTTAAGCCAAGGAGTTTGAGGTTGCTGTGAACTATGATGATGCCTCTGCACTCTAGCCTGGGCAACAGAGTGAGACCCTGTCCTAACTACTTCCCCCGCACCCCCCGCCCAAACCCCAGCAACATTGGGACAAGTCTTTCTCACATTGCCACCTCATCTTTCTGGTTCTCATTCCATTCTCTCTCCCTCTCTCTCACTTATAAGGACCCTTGTGATACACTGGGTCCTCCTGGATAATCCAGGATAATCTCCCCAACTCAAGGTTAGATAATTAGCAACCTTAATTCCATCTGCAGCCTAAATTCCCCCTTTTCCAAATAACCTAATATAGCCACAGCTTCCGGAGATTAGGACATGGACATCTTTGGGGGGACCATTATTCTGCCTGCTAACTTCTCTTCCCTGTTTTCTATATCTTTATCTGTGTGCCTAGTGATTTCCTCGGATCTAGCTGCCAGGAAACCAATTCTGTCCTCAGCTGTGATTAAACTACCATCTAATCTGTCCACTGATTCTTGATGGGCTAGAATGTAGAATTAAAACAAACAAACAAAAACCCCGCAAATACGATCTGTCTACTGAGTTTTTAGTTTCAGTGTTTATATTTTCCATTTCTAGAAGTTTTATTTGGTTCTTTCAAAAATCCACCTGTCAAACCAGTTCACACCAGAGCCCTGGGAAGGAAGCCTCTCTGTTGGATCCGGCCACTCTGCAGGACTCTGAGGAAACGCTCACACCAGGTAGACAGACGCCATTCTGTCATCATGAGTAAAGGACCTTCCAATAAACCGTGGGGCATGAATGTCCTTGTATGCCTGCTTTGTGCAGACTTGCCAGCAAAAGCACAAGAAGAAACACCTAGACTCTTTTATCAATTTTGCCAAATTCTCTAAGAAATGTTCAGAGAGATGGAAGACCATGTCTGCAAAAAAAGGTCAAAATTTGAGATTTGGCAAAAAGTGAGAAAGCTCACTATGGCAGGGAGATGAAAATTATGTTCCTCCCAAAGGTGATAAGAAAGGAAAGAAAAAAGATCCCAATGCTCCTCAAAGGCCACCATCTGCTTTCTTCCTGTTCTGTTTTGAACATCATCCAAAGATCAAAAGTGAACACCAGGGCCTACCCATTGGGGATACTGTAAAAAAATTGGGTGAAATGTGGTCTGAACAGTCAGCCAACGATAAACAACCATAAGAACAGAAAGCAGCTAAGCTAAAGGAGAAATCTGAAAAGGATATTGTGGCGTACCGTGCCAAGGGCAAAAGGGAAGCAGGAAAGAAGGGCCCTGGCAGGCCAACAGGCTCAGAGGAGAAGCATGAATCAGAAGATGAGGAGGGGCAGGAGGAAGATGATGAAGATGAAAAGGAGCAGGAGGAGATGAAGAATAAATGGCTACACTGTGATGATGCTGTCTGTGTGTGCTCAGGCGGTTGTTTTGCTGAGCAAAACGAGGAATGTGAATTCAAGTGCAGCTCAGTATTAGCTTCAGTATAAAAACTGTACTGATTTTTGTATAGCTGATAGATTCTTCGTAGAGAAAATACTTTTTAAAAATGCAGGTTGTAGCTTTTTGAGGGGTTATGACCTACAGTTAGTTTTTGATGTTGAATGTTCCTAAATATTTAATGGTATCTTTTAATTTCTTGACTTGTGTATGGCAGGAACAGCAAACTTGTAGAAATTAGCATCAGCAGTAAATTTTAGATTTTTTAGAATGTTGCATTTTTAAAAATTGTAGTAAAATTACATATATTAAAAATCTATTTGTTCTCTTTCTTTGGTACTCTACTCTTTCATTTTGGTTTCCAATTTTAATTTAATTTTTTATTATTTGTAACTTTCTTAACATTAACTTTTTTGTTGTAGTAAACTATATATAACATTGGTTGGGCACGGTGGCTCACGTCTGTAATTCTAGCACTCTAGGAGGCCAAGGCGGGTGGATCCTTTGAGCTCAGGAGTTCAAGATCAGCCTGAGTAGGAGTGAGACCCGTCTCTATTAAAAATATAGAAAGAAATTAGCTGGGCAACTAAAAAATACATAGAAAAAAAATTAACCGGACATCACCAGACCTGTAGTCCCAGCTACTCGGGAGGCTGAGGCAGGAGGACCGCTTGAGCCCAGGAGTTAGAGGTTGCTGTGAGCTAGGCTGACACCACGGCACTCTAGCCCGGGCAACAGAGACTCTGTCGCAAAAAAAAAAAAAAAAAACAAGAAAAATATATATAACATAAAATGCACCACTTCAACCATTCTCAAGTGTACGAGTCAGTGGCACATTTACAATGTTGTGCAATCTTCTCCACTATCCATTTCCAGAAGTTTTTCATCATTCTGAACAGAAACTCCGTACCCATTAAACTCCCCATTCCTTCTATCCCCAGCCCTTAACCTCTATTCTACTTTGTCTCTGTGAATTTGCCTTTGTTGTCTTAACATTGAGTAGGCTAAGGAAGAGAAGGAAGAGGAAGGGTTGGTCTTGCTGTCTCAGGGGTGTCAGAGGCAGAAGAGAATCTGAGTATAAGTGGACCCATACAGTTTAAATCCATGTTTTTCAAGGGTCAACTGTAGTTTTTCCTCTATGTACCTTGATCCGTGGTCATCCAGCCCGTGATTTAACATTAATACTTCCAGTGATGCCATCCCATTACTTCTTACGGTATCCCATTTTATTACTGAACAAAAATCTCTAATTACTTGAAAGTTTTTTAAATCCAAATTTGCATTCCTGTAACTTACAATACTGTTATAACTTATGCCCAGTAGAAAAAAAAGAATAAATTAATCCTTTTTCTGCTGCATTATGCCATTCAAATGTTTCAAGAGTAATTATCATGTGTAATGGAGTAATGTTTAAAAATATTAAACCTATGAAAATTTCAATACTCATCATTCCTTCCCACACATACTCTATCTCCCTGCAGCCCCTAAATCAGTCTCCTCTGTAACACTTCTTCTATTATAGACCTGAGGAAGTGATAATGCTACCATCAGAAGAATATGGCTTATGAAAAATTTCTGCTGTAGTACAAGGGGACTAAATCCTGCTCCTTCTGGTCTTATGGAATTTAGAACAAAGGAGAGAAGAGAAAGAGGGAAAGAAGGGAGTAAATGGTCACACTCATGTATGATCATAAACACACACACACTTTTGACTCTGTTAAAATCTGAGGGGAAGAGAGAGAGAAAGAGAGAGAGAGAGAGTGTGTTGTGTGTGTTGGGAGGGGGTTAGATAGGCCAAGAGAAAAGCCAAAAACAGATGGACACTGTACTCCACTACTCATTTGGGACTCTGGAAAGGGTCCTCATGGCCCAAAACAGACATGTGGAAACTGCTAGAGAGCAGAAACAGAGGTACAGAGTGGTTAGGCAGAGAGAGGGCCTGAGTTAGCACTTCTGCACCTCCCTCAGTCCCCATGAGATGTGGAGGGGCACCAGAAATTCTTCTGTGTCCTGGGTGGAAGGTGGATGAAAGCTGCACGTGGAGCCCATGGAACTGCCGTGGGGCCAAGGATGAGTGAAGCAACTCCACAGTAGAGACTGTAGAGCGGACTGTCAAGGCCAGGTGGAGGCCTTGGCTGAGGCTCGGAGGAGTCCGCAGCAGCAGTGATCGCTGAGGTGAGACCAACCGAGCAAGGGAAAGCTCTTTAAGAGCCAAGAGTCAGACTGAGAATTCACCAGTGGCTGACATTAAGCAGTAGGTGCCAGCAGAGCTCCCAGGGACCAAGAGACAAGGGACATCAGCATGGAGACAAGAGAATTTAGAGAATTCTCAAGGACCTACACATGCCAGGCAGAGGCCTCTTCTCCATTGCCATGAGGTCACAAGCCAGCAGAATCACGAGGCAAACAAACCTTTTTCTTTTTATAAACAGAGCACAGTGTAGTGATTTCAGGTTCATTGGACCTGATAAGTACACCAGAATAAGCCCGTCTTCTCTTTTGATATGGTTCCTTAACTGATTCTGAGGAGAGATTTTTAAACTGGAGTCTGTGGCCTGTGACCCCGTTGAAATTGTATTTTTCTTTATAAAGTCATCTGTTTAGGATTCCATTTAAGAGTTTTGCTCAAGATCGAGGTCACATTTTTACCAGTCTAATATTTTTGAAATCTACCTTTTGTTTCTAAATTTTGGAAATCAGGAAAATATTTGCACATTCATCAGATACCTCTTCTCCTCTCCACGATTTGGTGGATATTACTAACTACAGTTCTGAAATTATATCTGGAAGGTCTTATATTAACCTTTCAAGAAACTCACTTAGGCTTGGAGACTCGTAGGATCTTAAATT